ATGTTTAATCACTACCGTTCCAAGTCTGTGATAAATGTAAGGCAACTGACAATAAATGAATAGCGAGGCATTTTCCTTGAAATGCAAGCTGCAGAGATACTGGTGTGAAAGTAGACAATACTTGCACATCTAGGTAGAAAGAGTTAGCTGGGGACACGTATGTGCCTCATGTGGCACTTAAGACTTTCCACCATGCCATCAAATGTAACAAAGAAAACATGCACTAAAGAATGCTACATGCAAGAGAGTTTGTAATAAAATATTTAATAATGCAATGCCTTCAACAGTCTTTTACCAAGTTCAGTGTGATTTGTATTATTTAGGTTTAAGCAGTTCTCTCAACTTGATTCCTCCACCCCATGCTTGAATCAAGCTGTTAAATGCATGGTAGCTCAAGCCTACCAAAATGAGGCAAGACAACCAGCACTGGCTTGTGTGCTGACATGCAATGCACAGAGCACAGCTGGGCTGGGGTTGTTTTTATTTTCCCCCCCTAACTTTTTTATTCAAAGAAAGCAGACATTTCAGTCAATATTTCATGTACGTAAAGATTGTAGCTTAAAGAATTACAACACTGTGAATAATACTAAGATGCATGTTATTGCTTAAGGCTTTGCATGAACAAAGACCGTAACAGAACTTACCATGGTTATACCCAATACTGTAGGCCTAACAAGAAAAAACGGAGCTCGAAAAATATTTTGACTTCTTTCCCAGAAAGAGTAGAAAAGGTCTGCCCAGCAGACTACCCACAGCATTAAGCCCAAAGCCTGCAATACAAAAGTGTATTTCATACATCAGTTCACACAGATTAGGCAGCACAACATACACATGAACAGTAGATGTTATGGGTTAGTAAAAGAGGAGTCATAATCAGATAATCTCTTTTGGGCAATTCTACAACATGCACAAAAGAAGAGTAATTTGGCTTTACCTATTGGATCCCCACTAGAAGAAAAAAGTTTACTAATTTTTAGTACCATGTAATTCAGCATATTATGAAGCAGAAAGCTGGTGAATCTCACTCCTGAATAACAGATTGCAGAGACAAAAACTCTGCAATACACCATGCTATTACAGTCCTTAAAACTTTTCACTTATTCTACGGTGGGGCGGGTGGGAAGTAAGAAAACGGTAAGTATCTATTTCACAATAGAAGTGGAACAGAACACCTGCAGCAGCTCTAGAAATCTATGCTGTGTAACTTAAAAAGAATTTATTATCCTGTCAGCTTCTTATTATTGAAATAAAGGCCTTGAGATTGAGTTCCCGTAAAATAGTCTTCTCCAACTGCTCTTACAAATGATTTGCATGCTTTTTTGCTATGTCAGAGTAAATTTCAGAAAGCCTACTTTCTGAAGGCAACGGAAACACATAAGGCTTGAAAATCAAACACAAGTAGAACCAGTAAGTTACAGCTGAAGTGTGCACACAGGCCAGGATTGATGCTCAACAAAAATAGCATGCTAAAACATAGCTGAAAATAGATTCAAACTTCCAGATAAGCTTAATAAGTTCCGATTTTAAAAAGTCACGTACCGTTTTGGCTTTGTTGAGGTTTGACATTTGTATGTATCCCCTGTCATGACAACGAAGGTACAGGAAGTACACCGGAAAGCAGACCCACAGGTAAATGCAAGGAATCCAGACCAGGACTGTGTTCTGAAAGCATTGGGTAAAGTCTGGATTTTCTGTGTGCCATGTCAGATTCCAATCCTGGGGAGAGAAAACGCATCGAGTTAAAGGAAAACAAACTCAGAACTTCAGTATTTTAAAAAAAAGGAATAGCCACTATCTGCCTTATTCTGTATCTCTTCCTATGTATTTATTTATACTTGAATTAAACTGGCTCCATTCTGTGATGTATCTAATTTTATTGCACGTTTTGTAGCTCCAAAGTTTTAAACCTTCACAAGATCACATCAGTGTCACTTTTGTTGGCTATACACAGCTAACATAACACACAACTCACTCAAATGTAATACGGGAATCTTTAACAGTACTTACCAGGATCCTTAACAGTATTAATCAAGGATTTTCACGTTACCATTGCAGAAAAATAACACGACAGTGCTAGCTATCTCCCATTATAACAACTGTGTGTGTATGTATAAACACTCAGATACACTGCATTCCCAAATTTCAGTGTGGAAACATTATCTGGCACACAGTAAAAGTGAACAGCACAAGACAACATCACTTCACTATTTGTAAAACAGTCTCATAGCTCCCAAGCTGTCTGCAGCAAACCCAGTTGAGACTTTCTGGTAATTCATAACAACAGAGCATAGAACTAAGTAAAAGAGGCTCGCACTTGCAGCCTGTTTCCTACTCCACAACAGGAAAACGTAAATCAAAGTAACTCAATGTTTTCCTATTTCTCTCAACACAATTCTCAAAAACAAGATAAACCACCATAAAATCAAACCAAAAATGACACTTACAGTAATAAAAATGTGATCACCATTTCTGTTACTGGTACAAGTACTATTTACAATGAGAGGTTATTTAGTAAAATGAACTTTCATACCATATTTATGATTGGCTTGACTTAGGGAAATCTCTTGCAGGAAATTTTACCTTAACATTACTGAGTTTGCTGTAAAATTATCACAACGGACACTTCCTCTCAAGTGCTGTAGATTTCCCACTCTCCAACAGGACGCAACACAGAGATACCGCTGCTACAGATGGACTGCAATATTCGACAGCCAAAGCACAGCTCACTGGCTTCTGTTTAAAAGCCACACAGCCAAGAGCAGCAGCCCCATGCTCAAAGGCTCGTTAACTATAGCGTCATTTTCAGTTGCAAAGCATTTTTTCAGACAGCCGCACAGCTTACAACTGCACAGAATACCAGTACCACTACTGGGACATAATCGCAGTCAGTAATCCTCCTCTATAAAAGCCTGAGCTGGTCACAGAAATAAGTCCCATTATCCACATTTTATAGATGAGGAAACAGAACGAAAAGGAGCTGTAGTGCCTGCTCCCTCTATTCCAACATCAAAGCTGGAAACAGATCCCACTGCTCAGAATCGCCACACTTTGATCCTTATTCGTCCCCATATCCCACAGATTAAACAGTTTCAAACACAACTACAAAGAGAGGAAAACAGATCTAAAGAGAGACAAAGATATAAAACTTGCAAAAATTTCAACCTGAGGCTAACCAGACATTATTTTATCATAGAGTAGGTTTCCCCTTAAATATGCCCATTCCATATTAAGATGTTTTGGGTTTTTTTTTAAAAAAACCTTATTTTGAAAATGTATTAACAAAAATATTTTCCTTCCCCACTTCCCTCTCAATTTCTTTCAGAATCTAGGACTTCTTTCTCAGACACAACAGACAGTACCCACAGGACACATGGCTGTTATTTTTCTCCTCTAATTCCATGACATTCTAAAAATTCTTCTCACTTTGTATAATTTTTAATTTGTCAGTTAAAAAAAAAAAAAAAGCCTCCAAACTTAATACAGCCAATTCAAGGAAATTAACACTGGCAGAGCAAATAACCAATTATGTTTTACTGTATCTGCCTAGGGGTCACGTAAGTTGTTCGTGACAAGGCAGCGGCTGTGAGAGAGACTCTGTGGGCAAGCCACATGCTTATTAAGTTCCCTGACTGTGTAACACCAGAAATTTCAGCTGAGTCATCCTCACATTTAGCCACCCCACAGCTGGTTTTGGCTTTCTAAGTCCCAGCTGCTCTGCTCCAGCACAACAGCCAAGAAAAAGTCTCATGACTCTGCAAAACAGCTTACAATTCACAAATTAAGACAGTTAATATATGATTATACAAGTAAGTTGACAGGATGTAATCAGCTTTACAACAAACAAGAGCATTTACATTATTTCATTGAGTAAATTTTTGGAGATCTACACACTGCTTAAGAAAGTTACTATCTCCTTTTTCAGTGTTTTTAAATGCTTGCTGTAAAATTAATCAGGCAATTACCAGAAAGGACAGAGCAGGTAACACACGTCACTGCCACATGGCTAAATAAAATAAAGTGCTGTATGCATGACTACTATGTGTATTGGCTGGAGGATATTCTAAAAATATGTGCAGTCTTTCATTTGACTTTTGTATTTGCAAGTTATCTGGAGGTGTTTCTGCATGAAAGGCAAGAGGGTACGATGCAAGGGTACTTCAGGGTTAAGAACAGGAAGTCGGGACAAATGGGCAGTTTGGGGTAAGATTACTGCCAGAATTTAACAGCTACAGCAACATCAGTGTATCTTCTTTCACATTTTTCCAGGATTTGATGATCCAGAGGCTGTTGATATCAAATAGGAGCTTGCTTAGCTGAAATACTCTATTCTTCTCTGTACAAGAGAAATGGCTACACTCGGGTGAGGTGCAGAAGCCCCTTCCACTTTACATGCATCTCAGGTGACAAAAAGTGAGGAAAGCATGCGTGAAGAGAC